CAGGGGTCGGAGGGATTCCCGCGCTTGCCCAGGGCACAAGGAACTGGCAGGGTTCCTGCTCTGTGCCTGCTGGGTCACTGTGAGGGGAAATGAGTGAATCCAAGCAAATCGTGGCAGACTGGCAGCACCATGCCTGGCCCGACGGGCGCGCAGGGGAAGCATTTATTCCAGCCAGGGAGGTCAGGGACAAGTCGTAGAGGTGATACGGGGGCTGTGAGGGTGCGCAGAGGTGCCAGATGGGGAGGCAGATGGATGTTCCCCACAGAGAGATTTAAAGGATGATGAGTAAAGCGGAGGAAGGTCTACTGGAGAGATGAGCAGGGCAGGGACTGAGCAGAGCAGGGCAGGGCAAGAGCAAGAACAGTGCCCAGGGCTCTGGCCAGGGGACGGGCGCCATGTGAGAGCCAGCCTTCAAGTTGGTAAAGGGACAGAATGGGGATGGGGCAGGGACACGCTCCTGGCAAAGGGACCACCACGGACAAAGGCCCGCGGGTGGGCAAGTGGGCGGGCGTTGGGGACGCGGGACGATGCTCCGATGCTCCCGATGCCCCTCACCTCGGCCATCCCTCCCTCCCCTCCAGGGGTGTGCGGTGACTGGAAGAACCACTTCACGGTGGCGCAGAGCGAAGCCTTCGACCGTGTCTACCGGGAGCAGATGCGGGGGCTGCCGACCTTCCCCTGGGACGTGGCCCCCGAGGACTCCAGCCCCGACTCCGACCCCAGCCCCAGCCCAGGCCAGGCCTCCGAGCCCCCCAACCCGTGACCCTGGCAATAAACACGTCACTCCTGCCCCGACTTCCCGATGCGCTAGGGAGGTGGCGTGCCGCGGGCGGGCGGCAGGGGGCGTGCGAGGGCGGGCGGACGCCGCTGCGGGCCTCGGAGGCTGGGGTGGAGACCGCGCGCGGCGCCCCGGGCCTCGGGAGACGCGGTCCTCTTCCCCAGCCGGCACAGTGGGGTCGGTGACTCAGAAGCCCTGCCCGGAGGCAAAGGTGCTACAGGGAGGCCCCGCTGGGCAATGCCTCCCCGGGGCGAGGGGGCTGCAGCCCCGACTCTGGGTGCTTGGTAGGAGGGCGCTGGACGCCCGGACGCGGCGCTAGGCTGTGGAAATGCAAGTTTCTGAAATGAAGCAGCTTTATTCTGAGCGAAGGTAAAAGGGAGACCCACCAACTCACCCCTTAGCACCCACGAAACAATCCCAGTGCCTGCCCAGTCCCTCTCCATTACCCAGAAGGTGTATCCCCACCGACTTCCAGTCCCTCGTTATTCAGCTCCACCCCGCAGATTGGTTCTCTCCTCTCCTTGGCCAAGCTCGGTTTACCCACAGCTCCTGAGCACAGTGGGTGCAGAAAGCTTATCCTTTTGTCCCAAGCAATCCCCATCTGCAACCCACGCAATTCCAGCGCCAGGTCCATTTGGCCAGGCCTGCCCTCGGAGAAGTTCTGACCCGGCCGGAACCGGATGTGCACTGTTCCAGGCTCCCAGCTAGTCAAGACTGTGTGTCCACTTTCTAGACTATAACACTGAGGTCTAGAGTGGGCCCTGAGCTTGTCCAAGTTCTAGAACAAATGAAAAATAATCCCTTCTTCTACTTGCCAGACACTGAGGCCAGAAGCCGTGTCCAAGGCACAGCAGGGCAGGGGGCTTTGAGCTGTGATTGTCCAACTCTCCTGGCTGGGCCAGCCCAGTCGGCTTTGGTTCCTGTCAGGGTTGCCCTCTGGGTTCTGCCTGGGCAGCCCCGTCTGGCTGCTGGGTGCCTCTAGGTTCTGAGAGTTTAGATGTCGCATCTTCACCAAACCTCCTCCGGGTGGGGGACAGATAGTGGAGGCGGGGGGCAGGGGTGAGGGGCAGGGGGCCGCCCCAGGGCTGGCACCAGGCCAGGGGTCGGGAGTCCGCCTCACCACGGGGCAGCCCTCCAGTGCCCCGCTGCCTCATCAGGGCCCTGGCTGGGGTGTCTTTGTTGCCCCAGGACTTCTTGAGCTGTGGAGGGAAAGAGAGGGAGGTGAGAGGAGGTTTCCGGGGTCCCAGAGCCAGAGGAGGGAGAAGAGAGGAAAGGCAGATGGAGATGGGGGTAGGAGAAGGAAGGGCAGGAGTGGGGTGTGAAGCCCCAAGGGGAGGTGAGAAGGCCCCTGAGCTCCAGAGGCAAGTGAGCAGCAGGCCTGGGACCCCTGGCCCACAGAGGGGGCAAAGCAGCTGTGGAGAGCAGGAAGCAGCTGGCAGGTGCCTCTGGGAAGCAAATATTTGCCAAGGGAGGTGACGCCGGGTGAGGGTGGCTCAGGAGCAGGTGGAGACGAGGACCTTGGCCCTGCCCTGCCCATCTCCTGTCCTCCTGAGAGGGACTAAAGAGGATGTTCCTGGGACATGTCTCCCTTACCCTCAGGACAGGCCTCTAGCTCCCACTTAGCAGATGGGGAAACTGAGACTGGGTGGAGGAGCAGCTCACAGAGGAGCTATAGCCAGAGTCCACCTGTTCCTCCCACATGGCTCTCCTCTCACCATCTCAACAGCCCACCATACAGCTGAGGACACGGAGGCCCTTCTGGGGGCCCCCCAGAGAACTGGGGCAGGCTCTGTTGGAGTCCCAGTGTCTAAGCAGCTGGTGGGAGTAACAGAGACCCCTCTGAGCTCCGCTAATCCCCTCTCAATGCCCCCTCAAGTCCTAGAAGCCAAAGAGCAGGGCATTTAAAAGCATAGCCTGGAGGCAACCAGGGCTGAGTTCCAACCTGTCCCTGGTGCCTCAGTTTCCCCACCTGGGAATGGGTGGGTGGGGAGATGTAATAACATCCACCTCATATGATTGTGGCAAAGGTTAACTTTAACCACCTCTGGGAAAGCACTTGGCCTGGGGCCTGGCACATGGCACGGGGCCCACAAAAGATTGTTGTTTTGACCTTGGGCGAGTCACCTGACCATTCTGAGCCTCAGCTTCCCTGTCTGTAAAAATAGGTAAGACCTGGGGTGTGGATGTCATGAAACAAATGAAAATAAATTCCACTTTGGAAGTTTACTGTAATGATGATGATGATTCTATTTCGTTCTGTCCTCACTGACTCCTCCTTCCAACCAAACTGGGAATGGGGACAACTGCTCAGCCCATTTCCTAGATGAGAACATTGAGACAGCAAATCCCTAACTCCCCCTCTGCCCCAGCTCTCACAGGTGGGGTACCCTGCCAGGGTTCGCATCCACGGTGGCTCTCTGGGTCTCTGCCCCCCAGTACTCCCCTGCCCAGGGCACAGCAGGGGTATAGATGGACGATGTGATTACAAATCCCAATGAGTGGCTTTGTACATAGTAGGCCCTCAGCTGCCTCCAGCCTCTTCCAGCTATTCTCATTCTAAGGCCAGCCACCAGCTCTCACCTCGTTATCACGGTCACTGGAGTCTGACAGCTGGGACAGGCGGCTCAGGTCCCACAGGGAGCGGCTGGGCCTGGCTGGTGGGCCGCTGGGGGTCTGGGCGCACTGTACACTCCTCAGGATGTCACTGAGTGGCAGCCCCGGGGCTGCGGGGGTCTCCTGCCTGTCCCCCTGGAAGACTTGGCAGGCCACCAGGCGTTGGGCCAGAGGGCCATTGGGTGGTGGTGGTGACATGGGGGCCACAGAGCGACGGCAGGCCACGCGGTGAGGGCTGTGGGTCAGCTTCAGCACCCCCAGGGCGCTGACCAAGGGGCCAGGGTTGGGTGCAGGCGGGAGCGGCCAGGAAGCTGCGTACAGTGTCCGGAACTCGCGGCCGAAGGCATCGGCGATCTCACCGGTCAGCAGGGTCACCAGGCCTCGGTGCAGGCGTGAGTCACTCCACGTGAAGCTGGGGGCATGGAGTTGAGGGGTTGGGATCTCTGCACAGTCCCAGAGGCCTGGCCCCCACCACCAGTCTGCAGCCTGGTCCCAGGGCAGGCTGCGTGACCTCAGGCAAATCCTGCAACCTCCCCAGCCTCAACATCCCCCTCTGTAGAATGCGAACAACCAAAGTTCCTACCCCAGAGGGTTGCGGTGAAGATAAGCGTTCAGATACTTAAAGGACCATCTGCAATCAGACTTGACTTTAAACCTGGGCTCTGCCCTGTCCCACCCAGGGATGCCTCCATGCCTCAGTTTCCCTTTCTGGAAAGAGACAGGGTTGTTCTCTGACACCCACAGGACTTTTTTAAGACTCCAATGCTTTCTATAATGACTGTCACTTCTTTATCACTTGCTGGGTGGCAGGCTCTGGGTGTGCCTAAGTACCTCGCTTTGCTCGCCAGTAATATGGAGCTAGAATGCAGGAGGGTTAGCATGAGAGAAGACGGGCTGAGCTCCCTGACAGGTGCCCAGCCCCTGCCTAGCACTACAGGCCAGCGAGCTGAGGTGAGTGGTACCTAATATGCCTGTTATCAGTGTTGTTACTGAAAGCATTTAGCACAGGTCTTGGCACACAGCAGGTGCTCAGTAAATGTCCCCATTGAGTTAAATGAACCTGGGCTCTAATCCTGCCTTGGGGGCCCTCAGATCCATCACTTTCTTTTCCGTAGCTTCAGTTTGCCCGCCTGAGAAATGGGCTCACCAGGGACTGTGTACTTGCACCTCAGCAGACATGGCACCCAGCACCCAGTTAGTGGCCAGGGTGGCAAGTGGTGATCTGAGTGTCCTTACCTTGGCGGGGTGGCAGTGTCCTCATGCCCTGGCAGGTCAGTGAGCCCACCAGGTCCTCAGATTGTGACACCCCTCCCCCACCTATGACCTCACGCCCGGAGCAGCCAGTGAGGAACCCTGAGAGGTCTGTGAGGTCACCCCATTCTGTTCCACAAAGACTCCCCTCGGGCATCAGCTGCTGGCTTGTCTTTGTCCTGGGGAAGCTTCTGAGACTCCAGGACTCAAGCGCTGTGGTCACGAGGGAGCTCAAGGCCACTCAAGTGCTGACCCTGCGAGACCAGAGCCAAGGGCGTGCGGAGAGCCACTCATCGGTTCCAGGAGGCCCAGGAAGCCCACAGTCTGGCTCGGGCACCATCACCACCGCCAGGCCACCATGGTCCTCGGCTCGCTGCTGCTTCTGTTGATGGCTCTGCCGCTGCGGGTGCCAGGCTCCAAGGACTGCATCTTCTGTGAGCTGACCGACTCCAAGTACTGCCCTGGCATCCGCATGCACTGTGGCGACGATGAGAACTGCTACACGGGACGGGGGGTGGCCCCGGGCCTCGGCCCCGTCACCACCAAAGGCTGTATGCAGTCCACTTCCTGCAGCCGTGAGGAGCCTGTCACCTACAAGGGAGTCACCTACATCCTCACTGCCACCTGCTGCCACGGCCACCTGTGCAACGGGGTCCCCAGCCCCACAGGCAGCTGGTCGCTGGCGCTGGCCACATGCCTGAGGTTGGGTGTGCTGCTCCTCCCATATTTGCTGTGACTGTCTCCCAGCTCTGCTGCTCCCCCCCACCCCCGGCCTCCACCCCTCCCCCATTAAACGGCCAGAGGCCCTGGACAACGTCTCGTCTCGTGGCGCTGGCTCCCTGCGTCCTGGAGCTGTCCGCCAGGAGCCCGCCCTCGGCGAAGCACCTCGGACCTGGTTTCGGGGTGGGGACCTGTGCTCAGCGGGTTTGACTGCACTACTGTATTTCATCGGTTCTAAGACACATACTTGTTTCACTTCGATCAGGATGTCTCTTTTCATTGATGGCACCTTAGAGTCGACAAAATATGGTAAAAATAATAAGAAGAAGAAGAAGAAGAAGAAGAAGAAATGACAGCTGATGTTTACAGAGCACTTCCTATGTTCCATGCCAGGCACTGTTATTTCACTGTGTCCCCAAGTGAAGCTGGGAAGGTAGATCCTCTTTAAAACATCCCAGTCTCTATGGTGGCAGTTCTCAAAGTGTGAGCCCCAGACCAACCGCATGGGTAGGAACCAGGAACTTGCTAGAAATACCGGTTCTCAGGCCCCATGCCAGGCCAGCTGCATGGAAGGTAGGGCCCAGAAATCTGGATCTTAAAAAGTCCTCTAAGTGCCTCTGAAGCCAGGGTCGGGCAGACTCCAAAGACGAGAGGAGGGACAGGAGCCAGTGTGGGGGCCGAGTGCTTGTCTTCTTCACAGGTGCTCAGAGAGGCAGAGCAACTCACCCCAGAGCTAGGACTCCAACCCAGGTCCTCCTGGTTTTGAAACTCCCACACAAACTGTAGGTCCCGTTTCCCAGAGGCGGGAACACCAGCTCAGAGACATGCAGACTCACGCTGAGGCCACTAAATAGGCTGGCAGCCGGGCCCGGGCTCTGACCCGACGCCGCTCTGCGTGGCCATACCTCCTCCCTGGACAGGGTGTGGAGACCCATTTCACAGACGAGGAAAGAGAGGCTGGGGAAGAGAATGCCAGCTCCCCCCTGAGCACACTGAGAGGGGGTTGGGCAGGATCCCGGGCGATGGGCGAGGGGGCGGCCGCACCTGTAGGATCCCGAGATGACCCTATGGCCGTCCAGGAGCACAAACTTCTCTCGCACGTTGCCGCTCACCTGCCGTCGCCAGCGGCTCTGGAAGCTGCAGCCCCGCACGACACGGATGTCCAGGTTCTGTGGTGGAGGGGCCACATCCTTGCTCAGGCCCACCTCACATACCTCCACTCTGCCAAGGGCTCGGGGGGCGCCTCATAGGTTATGAGACCCTCTTAGCTAGCATCAGCCTTGATGAGCCAGGACTCCGTGGAAGGGTCTGCCCCCCACTGCCCCCAGTGCCAAGGAAACGGGGATCCAGAGGTCCCTCAGACCAGGCCCCTACCTCAGTGGCCCAGGGGTTCATCCCCAGCTGCTGGGCCAGCGTCAAAAAGGCAGGCAGCTTCTGGCGGTCCAGAAGCAGGTAGACGGGCACGCAGCGGCGTGTGGCAGCGTTCACCAGGTCCAAAAGCAGGTCCGGGTCAGTGAAGATGTCCATGACCACAGCTACCAGCTGTCGGGTGGGGAGAGGGACTGTGGATGGAGCCTGGGACTCAGAGGGTGGGGCCCTGGGGGTGAGGTGCTCTGGGAGCTGGGAGTTTAAGCGCTGGCCTCAGTGGGATGTTCAGGGGGGCTGAGGGGGAAGCCCCCAGACATGCTGCTGCTCAAACAGTGCCCATATGAATGAGATAAAGGCATTCCTTCCTGGAGCCCCCAGCCTCTAAATGCTGGAAAGCTGTCATCATAGCCGCATGCCTGCGATGGTGAATGGTGTCCCCTGAGCTGTGACACTACAGGGTGGATCAGTGGGCTGGATGTCTTTATAGATGCAACTGCACACCTGGGCCTTCCTCTCACCAAGGAGCATGGAGGCCAGGGGTGGGAGGGTTGACCTGCTAGGCCACCAAGGTGAGCCCTTTGGACTGGAAGGTGCTGAGGGTCTGGATCTTGCAGCGAGGAAAAGGTGGTGATGATGAACCCTGACTTACCAGCCAGACAGCCTTGGTTTAAATCCCCGCTCGGCCACTTACAGGCAAGAGACTTAACATCCCATGCCTCAGTTTCCCCATCTCCTCATTGGGCACAGTAAGTCTCAACCTCACAGGGCCCTCCCGAGGATTACACACAAACCCAAGCACCTAGTGTGGGAGCAGCAGACACAAAAACTGTTAAAGAACAGGCTGGCCAAGAGGCTGCTGAGAGACCTGTAGGCCCTTCCTGGCAGGAGGTGGAGACATCTGCCCTGGGGGTGAGTGGGGTGGAGCAGACTGAGACTTGGGGGTGGGGGTCAAGTCAGAATTAGGACCAAGGAGCACGGATGCCTAAGAACACTCAGGTCCCGGGGAAAGAAGGGAACCCCCATATCTAAAGAAGTGAGGATGAGGTCTGGGGCATGTGGACGCCTGGGTTCCGGGGTGTGGACTAAAAAGTCCTAGGAGGGCATGGGTGAGAATCCCTGGAGCCCAGGGGATGTGCTCCCGCAGGTCTGGGAGCTGTCTGAGGATGTCCAGGTCTAGGAAATGGACGCCAGGCCCCCGAGGTCCCCACCTTTTGGGCAGCCTGGATTTCCTGGCGCACCAGCTCCTTGAGGGGTGGGTGGCCCTCGTCAGGCGGCTGGGTGTACAGCTGTGCCCGGGTGATACCCTTCCAGGCCGAGTCCTGGGGCCAGCCCAGCCGTAGCATGGGCGCCTCGCCCTCCGACCGTCCAGGCCAGTAGGTCAGGCTGCCCGAGTCCGCACCGGTGGCGGTGGCTCCCTCTGCCGCCCTGCAGGGCTCCTGACTGGCTGCTGTCCAGTCCTCAGCAGCCGCTACCAGGCCCCGGAGCTCATCTCCACTCAGGAAAGGCCGCAGCCCCTCGCGCTGCACGCAGGCCTTGAATGCCTCTGCACCTTTGCTCAGCAGAGCCTCAAGCGCCAGACGCTGGCTCTCGGAATACAGGAAGCAGGGGCTGGTCTCAGTCAGGGGCAGCACCCCAGACCCCCACTCCGCTTCTTCCAGCGCCGCCAGCTGAGAGGCCGCCATCAGGCTGCTCAGGTGGTCCGACATGGGTGAAGCATGGTGTCAGAGTGTTTGGCTGTCTCTGGGGGACTGATCCTCTGGGGGTCTCCTGTTCTCTCTAGGTTGCCATTCAGGACTTTCAGGGCAGACCTGTCAAAGTCTAAACAGCTCCCTGTGCTTACCCCTAGCTCACTGTCCTGAAAATCAGACTGCCCGAATAACGGCCCGCCTGAAGTGTGGGCAGTTCAGCCCAATTGCCCACCTGCCTCCAGCCAGCACCGGGACTGGCTGGCTGTCTGACCTTCCCACCAGCTGTCTGTGAGTGCCTGGCCAACCCTACCACTTGCCCTGCCTGTTGGTCACGTTGACCACCTGACACTGTCTCCAGCTGTGTAACCCATCAGTTTCCCATCTCTGCTCCACTGCACAACAACCTCTAGCCCACTGCCTACACAACGCCCCGGCTGACCCTTCAGCTCAGGCTTGGTCAGGCTGACCACCCACCTGTACCCGTCAAAGGTCTGGCTGACTGCCCAACCAGCTCCAGGCAACAGGCTGTCTGTCTCCAAACCACCCTAACTAGAGAACACAGGCTGCCAGTCTCCCTCTGGCCAGGAGCATGTCTAACTGACCCTCTCCAGTCGCCTCTTCGACATCTATTTCTCCCAACTGACAATCTCGATGTCCGACCACCCAGTTATACACCCAGCTGTGTCTGGAGGAATCTTTCTCCCCCCAACAGCCAACCAGTGGCTCACCAGCCCTCCCTGGCTGATCAGGTTGGGTGCCTCTCCTTTGGACCTGCCTTCTCAGCTTCAGAATGCGCTGTAGCTCTGTCTCGGCATCACCCGTGCCCAGCCAGGGATCTAAGTCGGCCTCCTGTGGACTGGGGACCCTGTTCCTGGGCCTCACACCCACTCTGGTTACACTCTGTGGTGGGTTTCCTTCCTATGGAACCGGCCTATGATCCTGACAATCCAGTTAGGTTGAGGGTCCAAGTAGCCATCTTTCCTTGAACAGGCTGCCCCACCTGGGCCACGGAGTTGTCTGGACGTGCTCCCCGATCTATGCTGATCCCTGGCCAAGCTGACTCCAGGCTGTGTTTCTGCCTGAATCCCACTGTCTCCGGCTTGCTGACCACTCACTTATTCCTGGGTAAGAACCACTCTATATCCTGTCTCGTCTCCCTTCCAAGCGTCCTCTTGACCCAACCTCTGGACTGTGGACCCCTGATCCCTGCAAACCGGTAGCCCCTGCTTCCAATCCCAGCACCCAGATGGCTCCCTTCCTCCAGACCACAGCGAGCCCTGCAAAGAGAAGGAAGCAGAATAAAGCCACGCCTCCCTCTCCCTCTTCTGCCCCATCCGGCACCCCCAGGGGTTCAAGCCTCCATCCCCTTGCCCTCTTCTTGCCTTTCCAGAGGACGGTGAGAGAGGGGGCTGGAGACCTCCTGATTTTATTTCTGCGGTTCTTCCGTCTCTCACCTCATCAGACTTCAGCTTGGGATCCGGCCAGCCCAGCCCCTTGTATAAACACAGCGGGAGGGCCGTCGCAGGTCCCTGGGGCATGGGAAAGTCCGAGCCCCGGGAGCACACACGCCGGTTTGCTGGGCCAGGGGAGGGCAGCCCTCCAGACCCAGGCATCGGGGAAGGGTATGGGCCTCACTTGTTCCCACGCACCCAGTCCCCACCGCGGCCCCACCCTCCACTCCCAGGACAAGGGTGATCCGGGAAAGCTATTTAAAAGGGGCGGGTGTGGCTAATACGAGGAAGCAGGTGCGGAGACACGGGACACCTGCAACTGGGGAGGCGGGACTTCATCGCAGAGGGGGCTGAGGGTCCAAAGTCAAAGTGAGCTTCAGGGGCCCTGGTGCACGCGCGGCATGGCCACCAGGGGGCGCCGGCCAGTAGACCCGAACCCCGCCCCGGCAGGGGGAGGGGCTATCCCAGTGGCTGGTCTCCATGGAAGCAAGCAGAGCATCCAGCTACCCAAACCAAACGCATTCTCTCTCACATGCGCCCCCCAATAACACACAGAGGGCAGTCAGCATCCAAAAATCTTTTAATAGCAAGAAAGGATCTGGGGTTAGTTTTTGTAGCCTCGGCTGGCCCGACGGCCTCTGGCGCGCTCGAACTTCCGGCCCTTGGAGCGCACATAGGGTCTGAAAGAAAGGAGGGAAAGTGGGCAGGCCACGTTACCAGCCTGCTTGCATGCTGAGCAAGTGCAGGGAAGAGCGACGCTCCCTGAGCAGCACGGGGACAACTAAAGTCTGGGGGTGACACCAAATTGTCTGCCAGAAAAGCCTGGTAGCACAGGAAGCCAAGATGCTAGGAGTGGCTGCTGAAGCGCCAACACCCGGCCCGGAAGGGGTGGGGCAACATGCAGGCTCCCAGAGGGATGTGGACTCAGGCCTGAGGCCAAGCCCTGATGAGCCTGCATTTTAACGCTGGCTGCCCTGGGAGCTCAGCACCCAGAAGACAGCTTTAAGGCAGGTCTTGGGAGAAGTGAACAAGACGACGGAGGTCTGACAACCTCAGCATGAAAAAGGAGCAGCCAGTTGTTGAGAAACAACCTACCAACATGAGAAACCAACCCCTCACAGAGCGGGGTCGGGGAAGGGGAGTCACAGCTGGACATACTCACTTGGTGTGGCTGTGAGGGGTTCCTGGGGCCTTGCCGAAATGCCTGTACACCTCTCGGCCCTTTCGAGGACCTGGGAAGGGAAGAAATGCGGGTACATCAGGCAGGGACCCAGCACCCAGACATCGTGCAAGGAACCTCGCTCCAGGGCTGAGGCTGATTAGGGGGCTGGGGAACTCCTGATCTCCCAGACCCGGCAAAGTAAAGGCTGCCGCCACTACTCAACACAGCTCATACCAGAGTCCACACCACCTTCCTGCAATGGGAGATGCAGTGAACATTACTCACCAGAGAGCAGGACGGTGCCACAGCCCTTGGGGGAGTCCAAGGCCAGCTGGTCGAAGGTGAGGATCTTGCCTCCTGCCTTGAGGATGCGGCTCCGAGCACGGCTGCTCACACGTAGTGCGCACACCTGGGGAACAGAGGACAACTGCCTTTATAGCCCCCCTACATGACCACCCAGGGGCTGCTAGGACTTACTACCTGGCCCAGCAGAGGTCCTAGCTGCTCGCTCAGCCTGAGAACCAATTATCACAGGTGGCTTCCCAAGTTGACTATAGCTGTCCTTAGCACTTTATTTCTAGAAACTTCATTAAGGCCACAATAATCTCAAGTTATTACTTGTAAGGAAACTGAGGCTTATTAGAGATCTATGACTTTGTCCAGAAGTTACAAAGTGGCAGAAAAATTTAGATCTAAAGCTGCCTCAAGAGCTAGCACTGTCAACAAGGCCCCACAAGCGGCCCGCTCAGGAACACCCACCATTAATAATGCCAACGACAACGCCCCTCCAACCCTTAAAGCCACCTGGATAGGTGTGATGCCAGCCTCACCCACAAAGGTGGGACTAAGGATGCACAAGCCTGATGGCACCACAGCAAAGCAAGGGTGAGCCGGATCTGTAGGACTCCACACCGAGCCCCTGCCCGCCTCACCTTCAGCTTGGGCACCTCCTGGATGCGCACATCATCAGTTATGGTCCCTACAACCACAGCTGTTTTGCCTTCCCGGCCAGGAAGCTTCATCTTCCGGATCTTTGAGGGGAAGTAGAGATGCACACTAAGAAGTCCTTTCTGGATTAACATCTAATCCCAGTGCTTGCAGGCATCCCAAAGACCAAGATAGTTGTGCCCTGACTGGGTTGAACCTATCCATGCCACACCCTCAAAGTAGTATAGGCCTAATCTCAGGTCTTGCCGAGGAAAACCAAAGAAAATTCAGGCACACTAACAAATCTCTCCCACAGAGGGCTTCTGATGCCAAGACTCCTGCATTGTGTCTGGAAGCCCCAGGGAGAGCTCACAAGGCCCCCATCACAATGAGAAATTGAAGCTGGGAGGCCAAACCAGTCAAATACCCCCTACTATTCAGCTACAATCAGAGGGTCCAGGCTGTGCACCCACCACTGAGTGCGGTGAACCAGCTAATGGCCAGGCTCCAAACCTGCCCTCCCTCCCGGAGCCCAGCTCCAGACACGATCCAGTTGCTCCCAGGTGGGCTACGCTTCCCCCATCAGCCCCTCACCATCCGGGAAAGGGACAGAGGTGGCCTGTTGGTGCGACTCATGAACAACCTCTTCAGCACAACTTGGTTGAAGGTGGAGTTGGTTCGTCTGGCCAGAAACCTGTACAACTAGAAGGGACCAGAAAAGGAAGCATGAGAACCCCAGGCAACACACTCCCCCTCCCTCCCAACTTTCCAATGAACAAAGAAATGACTGGGTTAGGAGGGTCTTCATGGCTTTTCCCGATCCCACTGAGCTCCAAGAAGATGACTGGCCCCACTCCCTCCTGGCAGGGACCCAGAAAATCCCTTCCCGACCCCCTAGCTGTATGCAGCCCAAAAGATGAAAACGGCTCCCTCAGAAGCTCTGGGGCAACCAGAGGCCTGAGCCTGAACCCCTGGGAGAAGGCCAGGACCGGTGCTAGAATGCAGGCTTGGGAAGCTACAGCCCTGGGGTGGCCCTGGCTTAGGGTCTCAGGCCCCAGCCTTACCTTGACCAACAGCCTTAGGTAGATGTCCTGGCTCTTGGGCTCCTTGCGCCGAACCTTTCGGTCCTTGTTGTGGCGGATGTCAACTCCCTATGGGATACAGGGGAGGCGACTGACCCAACTCTGATCTGGCAGATGGCTCACACCATAAACATTCTCAATTATTACTTACCTGAGAGAGGTAGGGCCCCACTCTCTGAAGAGACAACAAATCCCAGATCCCAGGTCCACCCCTGGGAGACCTCTGGGGAAGTTACTTACGGGCCTCAAATAACCTCTCTGTAAAAAGGGGCTAATTATACAAGCAAAGCATTCAGCACATGGCACACAGCACCTTAAAAAGCTTTAACACGATAGCCACATGAACTTGATTAAAAATTTTAAATTCCTTATAAGTACTTTTCAACATTAAGTTCCCAATACTAGCTCCCACACATGGAGGGTGACCAAAAACATTTAAACAAAGGCAAACACTGAGTATTCAAAATGGCAATAAACCTTTATTAACTCTGTACAGAACCAAAACTAGAATATACTTTGATGCACAGTCCTCCTTGAATGCAACGAATAGGAGGTCGTTTCCCACTTTAGCGTTAGGAAAAGTGAGAGAAGCCCACGATTTCCACTACACCTCACCCGATTTCCAGGGATTTTCTCAGGCTATATTATGTTAGACTGCTTACTAACAACTCCAATTTTATCCAACAATTAAGTGTCTGCAAGAAACGGTAATGAACGCTTCCTGTTACTTCTTCCCAAATTCAAATCTGTGACAGTTTTTGTGTTCCCAATGAACAGATGAAGACAGTGGGGCACAGTCCGGGAAAGGAAGTTCACAGGGCGTGCAGGGAGCTAAGATTCAAACAGAGGCCTGGCTCGTCCAAAACCCGGGGCCTGAACGGTCGACACTCGGAGAACCCAACGTTACAGACAGATCTGGTAAAGGCAGCAAACACTCTGTTAAGAGTGGCTGTGGGACAGGCGCCTGGGTCCAAATCCCGACTCCACTTCCTGGCACTGTGACTCTTCCTATCACTTCACTTCCTTGTATCTCAATTCGGTCATCTACTTATGGAGAGCTCGAACAGAAAGGTACGGGAGCGGTCGGAGGCTGATAGGAATGACACATCCCTGGTCTTCGGGGCCCCAGATAATCCCCCCACTGCGCGAGTAGCCTCATTTGGGTACCCCCGACTCCTCTGGCACGCCCCCAGCCCAAGACCGCGGCGGATGGAGGCGGATGGTGGCGCCGCAAACGCCTCTAAGCGCGCTCACCATGATGGCGACTCCTGATCAAGCAGGTCCGGAAAGAAAGAACATAGCTGAGGTGGGCGGGGAAAGCCTTCAGCGAATGGCGCTTATGTGACGTCTAGGGGCGCGACACGACGCTCTATCGCGACTCGGGACTCTCTATGGTGAATCGGATGACCGGCTAGATGGGCGATTCCGGAATAGGAGGAAGAGCCTCCAAAGGGAAACAAGCGCTACGTCAAGGAGGGAAGGGCCAGCACGTCGGGGGCCTCTCTGGCCTTACCCCGTCCCTGTTTTCGATAGTCCTCCAGAAGAAAAGGATATGGGAAAAAGGGAGACGTAACGCGGAGCTAGGAGGACGCTTTGCTCGGTGACGCTCTAGCCGGACACCGTTAGCCTCTCCGTGGCTCCCGGAGGACCCTACCGGCTCAGTGCTAGAGGTGAGTAGGCGGGGCTGGCACGGCTAGTCTGGACCTCGGGAAACCTTTGACCCTACGCTTCAGGTATTTCCTTATCGCGCTCACCTCTACGTATCTCGGACTGCACTTACCAGGGTAGCCGCAGCTCGGGAAGTCCTACTTAAGGTCTAACCCGAGATCTTCTTGCTGCAGCCCAGTCCGTAGCATCCTGTATTTTCTCCTTCTAGGTTCCGTTTCTCCTCATTCCCTGACCCCTTCTCAGCCAATGCCACTTGGGGGCTGCTTTTCTCAGCCAGAGAGATTCAAGTGGCCCAGCAGGTTCGGTGTGAGGGATGTGCACCTTACTGAAGCGCAGAGGAGGTACACTGAGGCCCTGGGCTTGGGTCGTAGGGTGGAAAGAGGGAATGGGTAAAAAGTTCCCTGAAAGAGGGGCAAGAAGAGATTTAAAGAGGAGACAGAGATTCATAGGGGAGGAGGACCGGAGACTCAGATAGAGAGTGGACAGAAACCTTAGGGGGAATAGAGACAGGGGATAAGAAAAATACCTGGAGGGAGGGAGAGGAAGGAGATGTAGAAAGATGGTGAGGTGGGGCCTTGCCAGCTGTAACCAAATTCATATCCCGTCTCTGCTAATTACTAATAGAGTGACCTTGGACAAGTCGTTTAACCTCTCTGTGCCTTATCTGTAAAACAGAGATGATAATAGGGCTGGCACAATGTATTTTCCAGCATTATATAAGTTAGTGAAATGACTTATATAATGCTTTGCACGTATGTGCTCAGTAAAAATTAGCCCACTGTCACTCTTATTACTGGCCTTATTGGGTGGGACCAGATGAACTGCCTGGGCCAGTGACAAAGCTGAAACTCCCTTTTTCTCCTTCCTGAGGGAGGCCCTAACCCGTGGGCCTCCAGCACTTCCAGCCTGGCCTCCTGGAGTCTGTCTCTGATGCTCCGACTTACTCACCTCTTCTCCACAGAGCCAAAGGCCAGGACTGGGCTGTGAGGCCTGACTCCTTATCCATACCACCCTCCCATGGCCTCTGACCCAGGGCCAGCATCTTGCTGATATGGTAACACAGTAGAAAGGCAGCAGATGAATGGACATCTTGAAGCAGACAATCAGGAGGACCAGGTAAGGGTCCATTTTAAGTCAACTCACCAGACCACGGGACACAATGTCCCCCTCCTCCTCATTATCCTTGATCCCTCATCTCCGTGACCTGGCCTTTGTCTTTGAATTCCAGCCTCTGGTCTGTTGTGTCTGCCTTTCTTTCTGCTGGGACCCCAAGCTCAGGTGCTGTGTTTCACTGTCTCTCCACTTTACTGGCTTTCTGTCCCTCCCTCTTTCTGGATCATTCTTTGGTACATATTATCTGGTGCTGTTGCTACTCTAGGTTGAACACAAGGTACATTGTTTAGCAATAAATAAACTTGTTCCTCCATTTATCTCTTTCTAGCCAGTTCTGTCCCTGTCTCCTTCTGCATGTGTCTTTCTATAATTCTGTTTCTAGTTATCCTGGTATTATTCTTGCCTTGCTTTTAATTTCACCAGGTCTTTACCTGTCTATGTCTGTCAGGATCTTTGCTTCTGTCTCTTGGTCTCAGTTCCTCTCAGCGTCCAACATTCTCTCCCTACCTTATTTGGCCCTAGAGGTATCTTACATACTGTCTATCCCATCTCTCTCTTTGTGTCTGTCTTGTCACATAACTGGGTCATTCACTGGGTAAATGTCCATGTCATGCTTCCTCCACTCTGGTTTGGGCCCAAAGTAAAAAATGTGTTAATTAATTAATGCCCTGAATTAATTAATTCAATTAATTGAATTAATCCTCCCTGGTTTTCATTCCAAAAATGTCCCCATCTCTCTTTATCTGTGTCCATCATTTTCTGGGTTTTCAGTGTCTTTACTTTGTGCATTTTCAGTTTCACTGTCTTTGTCTCTTTGTTTTTATCTCTGCTTTTCTCTATATCTATCTGAAAAAGAGGTAGCACTGTCTCCAAGTCCCTTATTGCCTCTGTGCTTCTCTGGGTCTCTTTTACTAATTCCTTTTACGTATCTCTGGGTCTTTTATCTGTGTTAGGGTCAGTCTATCTGCAGCCTCCCCCATGCCCCTTAAAGTAAGTAGATGGGACGGGCCCGCTTGCCCTCAAGAAAGATGGCAACAGAGGCGCTCGCTGTGGGGCCATGACGCCGCTTCTGCTGCGCGTGTGCCATTACCTATAATGGCGGCTGCACTCACAAAACAATGCTCCGCCCAGTTATCCGGATCTCCCAAAACTGGCCCCTGCGCAGAGCTCGCGAGTCTGCGGGCCCCGCCTCCCGCGTGCCCGCACTGGTGCGGCTGAGGCAGGCTGTGCAGCCATTGGCTGAGCGGATGGCACACCCTCCCCCCACCCCGAGTCTGATGGGGGCGCTTGGTGCTGGCTTGAGGGGCCGCTTGGAGGACCGGCGTGTGATGAGGGTGCGGGAGTCGGGTCTGGGACTCGGGTCTGGGGACCGAGGGACCAAGAGGATCGGAGACGCAGGCCCGGGAATAGGGTACCGGGGGTGTGGGATGGAGGTGGAGAACCAAAACCGGGACTGAGGGAGCTAAGAATGGAAACCCAGGTCTGGGACTGGGTTCAGGAAATGGAGTAGGAATGGAGTCCCGGGACTGGAGGAACCGGAGGCGGAGACCCACGCTGACGGACTGGGGAGAACCTATGGATGGAGTCCCCGGCCTAGGTCTGGGGTACCTAGGGAGCAGAGAATGGAAAGCAGCCCGGGACCTGGGGACCTACGTATAGAGACTCAGGTCCAGGAGTGGGGCAGATTGAGAGCTCTGTGCCGAAGCCTGATTTGAGGTAAAGGGTGAGGCCTGAGGGCGCTGCCCAGGGCAGGGAATAGAGGTGACTCCTAAGGGTGAGTCCACAGTTGGGGGTGTGTCGGGGGCAGTTCTGGGCCCCGGTGAAGTGAGGGGCTGGACTGGCACGTGGCTGAGTGGGTGGGGCAGTGGAGAACAAAGGTGAACAGGAAGGAGGAGTCAGAAGCTGGGTAGAGGGCAGGGGGCAGGCCTTTGGGGATGGGACCTCAGGCCCGGCTCTCACCCCCTCCCTGGAGAGCGGCTAGATGCCCAGGTCAGTGCTTGGGTCCGGCTCATGGTCACCACGGCCCCTCGCAGGTGCCTGCATATGGTTCCTCTAGCTCTCTGACCCCTTGGTCTGCCCATGTCACCTCTCTCCCTCAGTCTCCCCAGCTATCTAGTGCCTCTACCTCCTGCCTATCCTATCTGTTCTTTCCCTCCCTCCCTTTCTGACCTTCAGAAGGCCCCCTGGCGTCCCTAAAATTTCCTAAGTATCTTTTATCATCTTAGGTTTCATCTCCTTGAAGCTCTCTCCTTTTCTCACTATTTCTCTGGCGCTCAGACCTTATCACGCTTTTTCTTTGTATTCAAGTATCTCTCCCTTGTTCCTTTATCCATCCGGAGATGAGTGTGTGTGCGTGCGTGCGTGTGTGTGTGTGTGTGTGTGTGTGTTGTATATTTCCCTGTCTTTACATGTCTGTTTCTTCATGTTTCCACAGTCCTGATGTCCTCTGCCTTATTTATTCCCCAAAGTTCTTGTCATCCAACGCACTATGTATTTTACTTCTTTGTCTTGTTTTTATGTCTGCTCACTAGAATATAAACTCCCAGAAGGCAGTTTTTGTCTGTATTGTTCCCTACTGTGCCTGCTAGGCCTGGCACTGTGGCACATAGAGGATATGGAATAATTATTTGGGGAATAAATGAATGTTTACAAGTGAGTGTGGATCCTCCAGGCTTCTGGCCTTCTTGTCTCGCTAACCTCTGCCCTGCCTTCAGGGTCACCCCCCATCACTTATTTGAGCCTACCTGTCTCTGATGCTCCATCCCACCTGTCTCCGCCCCTTGTTGTCTCCCCTGTCCACAGGCCCTGTCCTCGCTTCCTTCCACTTGATATGGGGTCTTGGACACTGACTTCTGCCCTCCTCCCTTCCCACAGAGGCCAGACCAGGAGCTGACCAGGAGCTGGGGCCACAGGTCTGAGAGCGCCCTGGATAGGGCCAAGGCCATGGCCCTGCCGCTGCCACTGGCTGCCAGCACCCCACTCCTGCATGGCGAGTTTGGCTCCTACCCAGTCCGTGGGCCACGCTTTGCCCTCACGCTTACACCGCAGGCTCTGCACATACAGCGGCTGCGCCCAAAGCCTGAAGCCCGACCCCGGGGTGGCTTGGTCCCACTGTCTGAGGTCTCAGGCTGTTGCACCCTTCGGAGCCACAGCTCCTCAGACTCAGCAGCCTACTTCTGTATCTACACTTACCCACGGGGCCGACGTGGGGGCCGGCGCAGAGCCACTCGTACATTCCGTGCCGATGGGGCAGCCACCTATGAAGAGAACCGCACTGAGGCCCAGCGCTGGGCCACTGCCCTCACATGTCTGCTCCGTGGACAGCTGCTACCCACAGATGGGGGTGAGGCACCGGGCTGCTACTCTGTCCTAGAGCCACCTTGGTGTCTCTGCAGATCTCCCTCTGGGCATCTCTGTCTCTGCTCTTCTGTGTGTCTATGTGATGTGTCTCCCTGGGTCTGTATGGAAACTGACAGACAGGGATGGGCTATAGAAAGAACAGTCACGGGCAGAGAAAAGTGATTTGTGTCTGCTGCTCCCTCACTAGGTTTCTGTCTTTGTTCTCCCTTCCTTGGGTCCTGACCACAGATGAGTCAGAGGTTCCTGGCTGGCGAGAACAGCAGACTGAGACATGATCAGTCACCACCCAGGGTGATGGGCTCACAGAGGTCTCTGAGGGCATCTCAGAAGCCCAGAGGGGCATCTGATCCAGCCTGTGGGGAACGTCGGGGGTGGTCAGAAAAGGCTTTCAGGCAGAGGCTCCCACCTAGGGACCTCAGTTGGCACAGGAAGGTATGGTTCGAGGATCCCCACTGGTGGGACTTCTTTGTGCACCATGGTCCTGTAGGGATGGTGACAGTGAGGGAGCCCCACAGTGGAGTGGCCTGATCCTGGGTTCCAGGTGTTTAGGGATGAGGAAACCACAGCCTTCCTTCCACACGTGGTTCCAAAGGGCACTGGAATAAGACACCTGAGCTGTTCTATCTTTCTCTCAGCACCTGTGCCGGGGTGGGGAGCAGGGCCTCAACCCTGGGCAGGTGAGGCCTGGGAGAAAAGTTTTAACTCCCAGTAGGCTCCAGTGCTGACCTCCAGTTCCACTGGGACCCGTTTACAGTTCCTGTTTCTGAGGTGAGAGGGCCTCTGTCTCTATCCTCTGTAGAATGCTTCCCCTCTTTCTGCAGAAATCACCCCTGAGCTTCTGCCAAGGCCACCCCGACTGCTCCTATTGGTCAATCCCTTTGGGGGGCGGGGCCTGGCCTGGCAGTGGTGTAAGAACCACGTGCTGCCTATGATCTCTGAAGCTGGGCTGTCCTTCAACCTCATCCAGACAGGTAAGGGTGGTGTCAGCGTGGAAGTCGGGGTGCTAGGAGGCCAGACCTGAGTCCTAGGGAGTGGGGGTAGAATAGCCTGCCTCACCTCCTGGTTCCCCACATTAGAGCGACACAACCATGCCCGGGAGCTGGTCCGGGGGCTGAGCCTGAGCGAGTGGGATAGCATCATCACGGTGTCAGGCGATGGGCTGCTCTATGAGGTAGGGCAGGAGCATCCTATTGGGGGGGACTTTGGGTCTGGGATCAGGCTCCAAGTGTTTGATCTCCTGCCCTCCAGGTGCTGAATGGACTCCTAGAGCGCCCTGACTGGGAGGAGGCTGTGAAGATGCCCGTGGGCATCCTCCCCTGTGGCTCAGGCAACGCGCTTGCTGGAGCTGTGAACCAGCATGGGGGGTAGGTGGGGCATGCCTGAGGATACTCTGAGTAGGAGAGGGATGAGCCCTCCTGGGATGACAGGGACGTGACATATCTGCCCCCAGATGTATCCCCTCAGCCCGCAGTCCAGTCTGTCAATCTGGCTGTAGGATGTTCCCCATATACTCCTCAACAGGTTTGCCTGTCCCTAGCTGTATTCCTAGTGCCCAGAGCTGTGCCTCAGAGGTGGCACTCAACAGATGCTCATGGGATGGAAGAACTGTCTGGAGGCAGCCACATGGCTGCGCGTGAGCCCAGGACAGGGCCTGCCTGGTCTCCCTGCCGTCTTTTTCCCCACCTGTATTGTCTTTCTCCTCACTGCCTTGTGCTGTGTGTCTCTCATCCAACCCTGTTTACTTTTCCCACTGTGTCCATCCACCTCTGGCCATGAAGGTTTGAGCCAGCCCTCGGTGTCGACCTGCTGCTCAACTGCTCGCTGCTGCTCTGCCGGGGTGGCAGCTGCCCACTGGACCTGCTGTCTGTGACGCTGGCTTCAGGCTCCCGCTGTTTCTCCTTCCTGTCAGTGGCCTGGGGCTTTGTGTCAGATGTGGACATCCAGAGTGAGCGTTTCAGGGCCCTGGGCAGTGCCCGATTCACACTGGGCACGGTGCTCAGCCTCGCCGCATTGCACACCTACCGTGGACGCCTCTCTTACCTCCCTGCCACCATGGAAGCTGCCTCACCCACCCCTGGCCATGGCCTGCCCCGTGCCAAATCAGAGCTGACCCTGGCTCCAGCCCCAGCCGCAGCCCCTGCTGTGGCCCACTCACCCCTGCATCGCTCGGTGTCTGACCTGCCCCTGCCCCTGCCCCAGTCTGCCCTGACCTCCCCTGGCTCCCCTGAACTGCCCAACCTGTTGCTCAATGGTGGGGGCCCAGAGCTGGCAGGGGACTGGGGTGGAGCTGGGGATGCTCCATTGTCCCCAGACCCAGTGCTGCCCTCACCCCCCGGCTCCCCCAAGGTAGCTATACTCTCACCCATCTCCAAGGGAGCCCCAGAAATGCCATCATCCTCTGGGCTCCCATCTTCCAAACCTAATGCCACAGTTGCCGTCTCTACCAGGGGCCCAGCAGACCATCTGCTCCCTCCTCTGGGCACCGCACTACCCCCAGGCTGGGTGACACTGGAGGGGGACTTCGTGCTCATTTTGGCTATCTCACCCAGTCACCTGGGGGCTGACCTCGTGGCAGCTCCCCATGCGCGCTTTGACGACGGCCTGGTGCACCTGTGTTGGGTGCGCGGCGGCATTTCGCGGGCTGCGCTGCTGCGCCTTTTCTTGGCCATGGAGCACGGTAGCCACTTAAGCCTGGACTGTCCACAGTTGGGATATACCGCGGCCCGTGCCTTCCGCCTCGAGCCCCTTACGTCTCGTGGTGTGCTCACCGTGGACGGGGAGCAGGTGGAGTACGGGCCGCTGCAGGCCCAGGTGCACCCAGGCCTCGGTACACTACTCACCGGGCCTCCCGGACGGCCTGGACAGGAGCCCTGAACCTAACAAAACCTGGAGCCCCCCAAAGGGGGGCCTACATTCCAAGGTGCGGGGCTTGGCCTCGTCTCCGGGTTGCGTCCGTCCGCGCGGGAACCGGAGGTGGTGCTGCAGGGTAGCCCGAATTCCAGAGGGTGGGCGTCGGCACGGTCACGTAAATTGGACCCTCGCCGTAGGCAGTCCCTGACTAGGCGGAACGGGGCTTGGTTCAGATACTTGCTACCAGCTCTTAAAAGGCAGGTCGGCTGAGGGCGGAACCTGCTCTGTGCGTCGTCCAATGACGGGACCAAGAATGTACGGGCTGGAGGAAGCTTTAGTTAATTGGCCAGTCAGGGCCCGGGTTTTGCCCAATCTACTCCGGCTTCTCCACGCAACTGGCCAATCAGCCCTGGAGGAGTAGGTTCCTCCCGGCGGACGCTAGGATTTGCACTACTGTCCCTTCCCCGCGGGACGGAGCGGGGAAGTCCATTTCCCCAGTCTGTTGTGCGTCTCACGGCCGCGATCCACAAAGCAGTTGAAAAAGTCTATGCAATAAAGGCAGTCGCTTCATTCCTCTAAGACTGTCGCCCCTCCATCCTGCATCCCAAGGGAGCAATCAGACTGGGCCTTTCCTGCCTCGTATGGATCGAAGCCCAGACCTACCCACAGACTGCGGCCAGTGTGACCCGCTGGCCTTGAACTGGAGCCAGACAGCTGCCTCCTCCCCCACGACAGCTGGCTCTGGGGTTCTCAAGATTTATTCAGGGTCGTGTTAACGGAGGCGGTGGGAGGATGGGGCCCCCGACGTGCCAGGGGCACACACAGAGGACCCTCCCCGCCCCCGCAAGGGAGGGGGGAGGCTCGCTTTTTCTTAAAAATATAAATGTATTTATCTGCATCATCACGTCCCTGGGGCACCCAGTTGGCCGGCCCATGGGCCACAGGTAAGGAAGGGAAGAGGGCATCAGGGCACAAGTCTGAGCGAGGCAGAGGAGAGCCCTGCCCGGTGGGGGGTGAGGGGCGACATCACAGGGCTCCGTGCTGGGCCTGGTAACGGGACAGCACAGCGCGGTAGTGGGACAGCTCCTGGCGCACGGCCACCACCTCCTGCCGCAGCAGGGCGTTCTCCTTCTCCAGGAAGGCCGCCCGTACTGATATCTGATTCTCCTTGAGCCGCCGGGCGTCGCGGGACCGCTTGGCTGCCTCGTTATTCTTGTACCGCCGGCTCCAGTACTTCTCGTCCTGGGGGTGGGGAAGAGAAGACACTGAAGTACAGAAGGGCTGGGAGAAGCAGCTTTGCTTGTCCCCTCAAACACCAGAGGGCAAGTGGGGTCTAAAGGATACCAGTCTGGAACAGGTACCCAAGGGTCTGCCCTTCAAGGTCTCTGGTTGCTAAGGACAGCAGACTCCTAGCAACAGCTGAAGCATGAGATAGTCTGCCCACCCCCAAGCAACTGGGCTTCAAGTCTCTACTGCACAAAGCAGACCCCAGCCCTGCACACTTGACAACTTAGCAAAGCTCCTGCTTGCTAATGATGCTTGTTCCCTAGCAACAGAGCCTTCAGGGTCTGAGGGCTTCTCCCAGTAAAAAGTACGGCCTTATGCATCACCTTCCCAGATCCTGGTTGCTAAGGAAAGTTTAGGATTCCTAGTGATGGGGTTTGGTGTCCCCAAAAAAATCTCAGAGTGGGGCTCTTTTGACTTGGTTGCCAAGGCAACTGCAACTCCTCAGCAAACAAAAGATCTAAGTGGTCCCAATGACCACAGCCAGTTTCTGAGCCAGGGGCCCTGAATAGAGGCCAGGGAGCTGCTTCATCTCCAACAGCTTCTGGTTGCTAGAACAGTTGTCCCATCGCAAAGGGGCCTATCCTGAGACACTTGCAAACCACTATGTTTAGGGTTTTCCAGTCCTGGAATTTGGTTATGAAAGAGGACCACTCCTTAGTAACAAGGACTACCCAGAGTTCCAAAAGATGCCCTGCCACCTCCATTACATTTAAGCCTAGTCCCTCTTTCTAGGGTAAATCCAGTCCCTTTGCTAGGGCCCCATGGCAGGAGAAACCACTGGTCTAGATTTCGCTTAGGCCACTCCTTGCTGCTTCAAGTCGTTGTATATCACGCAAGGTATGGCAAAGTCTTGTGAGAGAAGCCTGGGCACCTCTTGCTAGACGAGACCCTAGAACTGGCAAAGATGGAATATGCTAGAATGATGCAGTCACTGACTAAATCAACCCAAAGCAGAATGTGGCCCTGGCTGCTAATGGGTACCTGAGGCCTCTGACCAATGAACAGTCCAGGCCCAAGAAACAAGGCCTAGAGGAGCTAGCAAAGTCTGCATCCTAGGCAGATGCAATCACTCCAAAGGATACCCCAAATAAAAGATCAAAGGACCAGCCCCAGTTGACTGGCTGCCCAGAAAAAAAAGGCTGATACCCTGTTGCTAAGGGATGGTGTGCTTAGCAACTGGGCCTGATAGAGACTGAAGCCTGCCCCAGAGAGAGTTTTGAGTCCAACTAATTGGAGAAGCTCCAAGCCTGTACAAGCAGGCCCAGCAGGGCGAGCTGAGTCTGTGTCCCCCAATAATAACACCTTCATAAATCTCAAATCCAATCCTCTTCCGTTTTGCATCCCATGGCCAATGAGGGCTGACCCTTGGCTGTAGGTTAAGAGCTAATCCAGTGATAAACCCAGGCCTGACTGCGAGGAAGGGGCCATCCTGGCTGTGGGGCCTGTGCCCTACATCAGGAGGGGCTCACCTTCTGCTCCTCTGGCACTTGGATCTTCCGCGCTTTCTTCATGATGGGCTGGGGCTTAAGTTCCTCCTCTGAGAAGCGATGTCTCCGAGGGTCAAAGGTCTCATGGCCAGGAATGCTTGACAGGGCTAAATCGGCTGGATCAGGTTCAAAGGTCATCAGCACCTCCACGGTGTCTGGGTCCACAGGGCTGGGTGTGTCCCGAGAGGTCAGGCCTTGGAGAAATAGAATGGGTTACCAGAGTGCGTATTTATTTGGGGAGGGGGTTCTCAGAGGCTATCCCCTGCTCCGGTATCATATTCACCACAAGGGAGGCCCTTATGAGGTCTAACATAAAGCCACCGGGAATGAACCTCCCTAATACAAAATATGAAGGTTTCCTAAGCCACAAAGATGCTTAGAAATCATGGAACCAACTCCACTTCTGCACACAGAGAAACAAGCCCAATCATACCTGACTTGCCCTAAAATAACACATGAGTCTGTGCTATTTCTTCTAAAACGTCATGGTCTTCAAATTCACATTCACGTATGTCTTTCCCATAGTCTAGGGGGAATCCTTACTGAATCCCTGATCAAAGCCTAGACCCCGGTTGCTCAGGGAAAAGGACTCCAATGCACTGAAAAGACCTCAAAGTAGTCTCTTAGGCTACTAGTTCCGAAGTGTCAGGGAAGAGAAGCTAACCGGCTCAGGTTCCAAGACATTGTTTAAAGAGGAGGGGCTGCCTGTGCCTTTAAGAGCGCGCAAGCCCAGGTCAGCTGAGGACACAGGTTCAGAGCCGAGTCACGTGCAGGCGCCTGCTTTCCCGCCCCGCCCCCACAGCCGGCAGGGGCGCCCTCAAATTCCCTAGTCCCCGCCCCCTCCGCGTGATCGCGCGTGCGCAAAGCGCGAAGCGCTGAGGGAGAGAGGTTAGGACTCACGTGGCGCAGGAATGTGCGCCTGGGAAAGGGAGGGCCTGGGTTCTGCGGAGAGGCTGGGCTAGGGACAGGTGTGTCAGGAACGCCAGATTTGCAGTGCGCCCCGGAGACCTCAAAAGTGCCCAGGAAGCATACCTTCCTGTTTGCTTCCTTTGTGTCTCTCAACTAGAAACTATCAACCTCCAAGAATCCAGGCCCCCCAGCTCTCTAACGTACACAAAAGAACCAACCGACACCCTCAACTTTCTCCCCCTGGTCCTCTTCCCCACTGGGACACACAAGAATCTGAGATCCCAGGCTCCTCCTCTCCCAGGAATATAGGAAATTCGGTCCTCGCCACAAAGACCTAGGATGAAGATCCCTGACTTTCTCCCGTCTGGAGGATTCCGGGACCAGGGGCGTCAGCCCCTCTCCATTGGGGTACCAAGCAACCAGTCCCTCACGTCCTAGGGACACAAGTCTGCCCAGCAGTCTCCTTCTCCCCTGTAGAGAGCCTAGGAGTTGTGGTCCTACCCCAGTTCCACAGATTCTGCGCCCAGATTCTGGAGTGCAGTTCTCTCCCCAGTAAATAACTCCGGTGTTTTAGGATCCCAGTCCCGGCTCCTCGAGTATCTGGACCCTTTGGCCCCACGTCCCACAGAAAAGTCTGCACTACCTCCTCACTGGACAGGCTTCTTGGAATTTGGGGTTCCACGTCCCTCATCTCCTATGGATCCAGGAGACACAGTTCCCGATCCATTAGGGAACACAGAATCCGGACTTCTCTCCCGACATCTCTCTACTAGCGGACCCCGAATTCGGGCAAGCTGCCCCAGTCCCACCGTCCCAGTCCCGTGTTTCACAGCCCTGCCTACTGGAGTCCAAGCCCTGCCCCCGCCGTAGCACCTGAGCGGTGGCCGCCGGCGGCCCCGAGGGCGGCCCGGGCGGGGGCGTGCCCGGGCGAGGAGCGAGGGGAAGCCGAGCCGCAGGAGCCGGGTCCCGGGGAGGGTGCAGGCGTGCGCACGGGCGAGGGCGCCGGTGACGGGCCGCCGGGGGGCGGCGGGCTGGGCGGGAGCCCGTGCTCTAGCAGGAAGGCGTCCAGGTCCACGTACTCCACGTCGCCGAACGGCAGTGTCCGCTCCCACAGCAGCGGCGCCAACAGACCGGCAGGCGCGGCCCCGGGGCGCCCCCGCGGGGACCCGCCGCCCACCACCGCCCCAGCTGGGGCATCCGCCGGGCCCGCCGTCTCCAGGCCTGGCCCGGGGGCTGTGGCTGCCGGCGGACCTGCCTTGCGCTCCTTTTCCTTCAGGAGACCTGTGGGCCAGGGAAAGACCAAGCAGGATGGGAGGGAAAGAAAGATAGAGATGGAAAAGAGATTTCGAGTCAGACAGACATGAGGAAAGCGGGGACAGAGACCCACATGGCGGAGATCCAGGGTAAGAGGGACAGATGGGAAAAGGGCAGAGATTGGAGAAGGAGGGCAAGGACCCAGAGAGAAGGGAATGAGACCCAGAGATCCACAGAGAGGAGGACAGACACCGAGAGAAGAATAAAGACTCAGAGGAGAGGACAGGGACCGGGGTGGGGGGGGACAGAGATCCGGGAAGGGATGGAGACACGGAAGGTGGACGGAAGTTCAGACAGAGGTAGGTGGAGGATTGGACAGGTGAGAGGAAAAAATGACAGCTCTGTAACTCCTCTGTAACCTACCCATCATTTCCTGCGCATTGTACCCCCTTTCCCCGCCCCCACACTCTGTAAGGGGTAGGAAGGGGCTCCGTTCCTGGGGCACATTCCTCATCCCTAGACTCCATGTGACCCCAGTCGGCCCCGCCCAAGCCCGTGTCACTACCGTGTGAGCATCCGACACACCCCCTCCCTCCGCCCTGGACCCCAGGGGTCCAGACGCTTAGAACCAATCGGAAGAGG